TGGCTCCAAAACGGAGTGGATGCTGCTAAGTATAAAAGCTGAGCAAACAGTGAAAAACAGAATAAAGGAAGGACTGTTGCTCAGAGGGAAGGAACTGCAGCACGTGGAAAAATTCAAGTATCTTGGAACGACTCTGACTGCAAACTGTGACTGCTCTACAGACATCAGAATAAGAACAGCCATGGCCTTGAAAGTGATAAGCGATCTGGACAATATCTAGAAAAACAAAAATCAAGAATGAGACCAAAATGAGACTGTACAGACCCCTCATGCTCCCTTTTGCCTTGTAAGCATGGACACTTAGGGGTGCTGAAAAGAAACAACTACTTGTATCCGAGATGGCAGCACTTAGAAAAATACTTGGCGTTCGCATCATAGACAAGATGAGAAACAATGACATCAGAAAGGCCCTCAAACAGATAGAAATGACCGTGTAAAAAGTACATGAAAGACAACACCAGTGGCTTGGTCATGTACTTCGTATGGATAAAAACAGGATTGCCAACAAAACAACATTGTCAACATTGCACGGAAGAGTAGAAGTTACCACAAAAAGAGGAAGTCCAAGAAAAACGTGGATGTCATCAGTGATGGCAGGATACAACATTGGACCACAAATTCTGAGAATTGCACAAGATAGAGACAGATGACGTTTAGTGTTGACTCATGTGAGAGCACATGTTAAAGTGCAGTAAACATGCATGGAGATATGGTGAAGAAGAATATTTGCTTATAAAATGGCATACATTTCAACATCCAAAGTAAAATGTTGCACACATCCCACAAACCCACACAGGGCTCAGGTGCAGGGCAAAAAATACAAACGTATTGTACGCACACTGATATAATTGCTCCATAAGAATTATTTATTGCAATGTTTCGACCATCAGTTCTTCGTCAGGCACAAATTACGTGACTCACGTAATTTGTGCCTGACGAAGACTTGATGGTCGACTCGCGTAATTTGTGCCTCACGAAGACCTGATGGTCGAAACGTTGCAATAAATAATTCTTATGGAGCAGTTATATCAGTTACATTTGTATTTTTACTATACATTTCAACATGTCATGCGCATACTTTGTCATTTATTTATTTACTTACTTTTTTTATTTTAACAGCCCAGATAACTCCTGCACATGACATGCAGAAAAAAAGAGATGGGCCTCTGTATTTTTTCATAAACTAATAAATCCCTGTGCAGTAGCTAGGTTGTTCTGGGTGGTTGCTAGGGTGTTGCTATGCAGTTGCTATGGTCTTCTGGGTGGTTGCTATGCAGTTTCCAGGGTGTTCTTCTGGTTGCATATGCGTTTGCTAGGGTGTTCTGGATAGTCCTGTGTGGTTAATAGGGTGTTATGGGTGGTTGCTAGGTGGTTTCTAAGGAGTTCTGAGAGGACAGTTGCTAGGGTGTTTCTAGGCGGTAGCTAGAGTGTTGCTTTGCGGTTGCTAGGGTGTTCTCCTGGTTATGCAGTTGCTAAGGTGTTGCCATGTGGTTGCTAGGGTGTTGCTGGGTGTACTGGGAGGTTGCTATGCAGTTGCCCATATAAGGCCTTGAAAATGAAGATTCCAAAATCAAAGTTTAAGAACCAGAATCTAAAATCATATTGAGATCTTTCTAGAGAGGTACAGGCATGCGATTGTTGGAAAAGGAATATTTATGGCACTTTGACAGGTATGTTTTTTGCAATTGTTTTGATAGAAGGAAACAAGACACATTTCTATTTTCAACATTATTTTTTCTTCAGACATTTCTCTTTAAATGAAAAGAAGTATCATCTGTATGCAAAGTGACCCACATTTGGTTTTTGACCACTGAAAAAGTGTAAAATGTAACATTTTACTCTTGTAGCCATATTGAAATTCTTATATCTCTGGATATGAACCATGTTGGGCCTTAAAAGTTAAGATACCAAAATACATTTTGTTATGAGCTAAAATATCAAAGGATATTAAGATTTTTAATACTTCTTGAGATACAGGCATGCAAACTTCAGGGGAAAAACGTTATTTATTTATTTATTTTTTTTACGTTATTTTTGAACATCACCATTGGCATATAATGCAACAAAGATTGCTGAAGTCAACAGATTTTACCAATCACTTCTGTAAAAATAACATGATGTAATGATGTTGCCATCTTTCTAAAGTCATTTTATCCCCCTGTAATTTGGCTCAAAATCTCAGGTGGAAATTGTCATTTTGACCCCCTCTACAAAATAGTGGATTATTCTGTAAATATGCATCCAAGGCATTTAATATTTTATTTGATCTTGATTGGATCTTGATTGCATCATCTTCATTGCATCTATTTTATTTTTCGATTTTGTGTTTTATTTCTTGATGTATTCAGCTAATAAGAAATTTTTTTCCTAAAATTTCCCATGTCAATTAAAAATAAAAGGACAAAAATGCAAAAAATGTAAAAGATAAAAATGCAGAGCACAAATTCCGAGCAGTACAAAAGTACAAATAGTACAAAAATAAAACTATGCAAATATTATAAAATATAGTGTTAAATCCCTCATTTTTCTAAAGAAACACTGTCAGAGCAAAGCAATGTCAGCGGGTAAAGTTACAGCAGGAGTCCACAGAGTCTCTCTCGCCTCCCCTAAGCCCACTGAGTTTTAACAGACCCTAAAGCGTGCTGTAAGTTTGGTGTGGGGTAACTGAGAATGAATGGGGGAAAGTGTGCACTCCATGGCAAATTTGATTAGATATGACTGGTTATGATCAGCTGTGATGGGTTCATGCCATAAATCCCGTCTCTTGTGTTTGTGCGCATTCCCCCATTCGTGAATCAGTCTGAATGAACAATATAATGGCGTTAATGGGAAGATTAATTAAAAAAATAAACAAGTCACACTTAGATATAACCACTTTATGTCAAAATAAGACTTGAAATAGCCTGAAAACATGATCTGTCGGAATATTTAGTGAGTTATCAGCTTGGTGAAATGTAAAGTAAATCTCCATGTCTGTAACCAATATTTACTGAGTTTTGATGACTGATGATCCGTAAAATTAAAAAAATAGTGTTGTTCCTATATTATCCATTGAATGCAACAGTAAAAATTAGCCCATTATCAAGGCAAGGTTCACTTAATAACTTGCTGAAGCCTATGGTTAAGGGGTCATGAACTGCATTTTTTAATTATTTTATAATGTGTCCTTAAGTGCACTTACAAAGAGGGTGAGGGTGCTCAGTATAAGCGGCGTTTACATAGCACAACAGCAGCAAGCCGTCATCAAGACAGAGAAGATTTTTTTCTTCACTAGCAGACCTAGTGGGAACCCCTGCAGCCCTTGGTTGTGACGGGGCTAATCAGCTGCCTACACACACATGGCATAATGTAGAAGACAGAAAGCAGTGAAAAACAGTACTTATAACTATCAGTGAGGTTAACACATTCGTAGTATAATTAGGAGACAGAAAGCAGTGAGAAACAGCACTTATAATTATCAGCTTCCGATCCATCCCAGCTCAGTGCACAAGCACTGACAGAGAATGTATGAAACAACAGACTACCTCAAGAAGCTAGTATTGAAAACTGGCTTACCTTAAGCTAGTTAAGCTAGTTAATGGTCAACTTTTCAAGTAGGCCATAAGTAGTCTGTTACCAAGGAATATAGCATTGATGTGTGGCAAAAGTTGTTGAGCTTCACAAAATGGGAAGTGGCTATAAGAAAATAGCAAAAGCAAAAGCAAAAAGTCCCAGTCAACTGGAGATGCTGTGAATCAGAATGAGTCAAGAAGCCTCAATAAAAATATAAAATATCACCCACATCACCATAAGTTGGTTGGGAGGGTATAAAGAAAAAAACCCAAGTATATTTAGTTGCAGGACACTACTGAAACATCAAACGGGCCCAGCGATTATTTTGGTGCACACTAAGATAAAAAAAAGGTACCCCATGCTCAAGGTTAAATATATTGTGGGATCTTTAATGTTGAGGGTCTATTATCTGCCAAAGGCCATCTGGACATCTTGTTCAGATACAAGGCACTGTGGATTCTATCAAATTTACATTTACATTTAGTCATTCAGCAGACGTTTTTATCCAAAGCGACTTACAAATGAGGACGATAGAAGCAATCAAAACTAGCAAAAGAGCAACAATATGTAAGTGCAAATGACAAATCCCGGTTAGCCTAACGCAGTACACGTAGCAAGGTATTATATATATATATATATATATATATATATATATACATATACATACATACATACATACAAATACACACACACACACACACACACAAAGAAAAACAAGTAGCTAAAATAGAAAAAATAGTAAGCTAGTGTTAGTTTTTTTTTTTTTTTTTTATAAAAAGAAGATAAATAGATAAAGTAGAATTAAAATAGAATAGAAAGTGCTAGAGTTAGAGGGTCAAATAAAGATGGAACAGATGTGTTTCATCAAATACCAAAAGATAAAAATCAAAACCTGACTGCCTCTACTAGAAATCGTATAAGGTCGTGGTTGGATCTACCAGCAGGACAATGATCCAAAACATACATCAAATCCACACAAAAATGTTTTACTGCCCACAAAATCAAGGTCTTGCCATAGCTATCGCAGTCCCCTGACTTGAATCCCACATAAAAACTCTCAAGAAGGGTCTGTGGGGTTCTCCTGTCATGCCTAATGAGGTTGGAGAATGCATGGCTAGGGATCTGACACCATTCCTTAATACAGACTCTGCTCTTCAGTTCACCCCACAGTTTTCCAGTTTATATATATATATATATATATATATATATGAAAAATCTTGATGGATCGATAAAAGAGAAATAATCTAATAAAAAAACACTATTAAAATAACAATGAATCCTTAATTTGTTAGGACTCTTTTTTTCCAAATTCATGAATTATGTTGAATAACTATTATCTATTTATCCACATGATAATTTATTGATTTACTGATATCTCAATTAATTCATTCAATGCTCAGTTGATCACAGATATGGCCCTGAAATCAGTTTCCTTCATCATCCCATACCTTCATCTCCAAATGTTGAGCTGCATTTCACACAGCTAAAGCATTCTGGATGCCAGTTTTTATCCAGCGCAGTCACCATTTTCTGAAGGAGAACATAATAAGGCCAGATTAGGGCCAGATAATATACAGTATAAAGCTATGGGAGTTGATACTGGGTTACAAACAAAGATGAACAACTTCAAATTACATATTTAGGGAAGATTTTGGCAAAACATCTATTGTATGAGAAAAAAAATTGTAAAACTTTTCTATTAAGATGTTAAAGTATTATGGCTAGATGTGCCGTTTTGAGCACAATTTGGGGGATACAAATGTAAGCTCACATTAAGATCAGCTGATCATCTGTCTTTCTCATATAATCAAATGAAAAACATTGATATATATTGTCAGGACTGGATCATGATCCTGTGAGGCCCCTGGTTATACGTCTTGGGGGACCTAACAGACCCTTTTTTTTAAGTGATATGGGCAATTTGGCTTCAAAAAGTTAGAAAAAATGTTTTCTGGATCCTATCTTGTTCTGTGTGCGGAGGGGCCCTAGTGGTCAGCATGTGCTCTATGCATTAAGGCAGAGTTTACCAACCCTGTTCATGTAAGGTATACCAACAGTACACATTTTCAAATTCTTCCTAATTAAACACACCTGATTCAACTCATCAGAACGTTAGTAGATTCTCCAAGACCAGAAATGGATGAGTCAGATAAGTGAGACACCCAAAAATCATAGAATTAGAATGACACTTGAACTGAATTAAGCTGGATGATGGCACTATCATCTTCTGTACAGCTGGGGTCCATTCTTCGTACCTCACTTAATACACCTGAGATAATTTGACAGATGCCAGATCTTTTAATCCTGGTAACTGATCTCTGGCTAATTTGGTTCTTCAAACAAGTTAGCGGATTTGATAAAAAAAAATCTGGATTAAGTTATCGTAAATTACTTTGTGTTGTCATGTTCATTGGAAAGGGCAGATATTTCGATACTCGAAAACATGATCAGCAATGCAGCAAATGGTTGGCGGCAATACAGCAACGTAATGACATCATATAATTAAAATCAAGGAAACAGCCAAGCCAGCAAAATGACATAAAAATTTGTACATGCTTTGCATTTTTCAGTGTCAAGAAGAGTATTGCAATTAGCAAGTAATTTAATTTTGAAGCAGATTTGTTACATGTGACAGCATTAAAGTTTCTTAATTCATACGATCCATCTTAAGACATAACTAACTGTGTTTAAATTAATTATGCATCATAAAAGCAATTTGAGATTTGAGAAGTGAGTCCGCATCTCCTGCGATGCATTAAAGCCACCCGCATCAAAGCTCACCGTTTAAATTAATGCATGGCTCAGACAAACTGTATGTGTGTGCAACAAAATTATGAGATAATTATTCCTTCACGAATAAATCTCTCAATGAGTAAAACTGGTTTTGTCTATTTTAATTATTTTCAAAATAATTTTTGCTTTAATAAGGTTGTAAGAAAATAGCAGTGGCTGAGATACACTTTCAGTATCACCTTCACTTAAAATTATGCAATCTAATCCTGTTTACGTGAAATAAGCATGCTCCTGAGCAGATTTGAGCTAAAGGACCTGTTACTATGACAGCAACTCCAGGATGAGCTTCGAAGAACCTAACAATCCTGGATCATGTCAAAATGCCAACAATAAAATCCAGCTGATCCAGGGAAATCCACATACGAAGAACGGACCCCTGCTTTACAACTTAATAGCATTTTGCAACATCAACACTGAACTGACTCAAGCTAAATAATGACATTGCTGTCTTAGGTAGAACTGCTTGTAGCTGAATTGAACTTGTTTCAAATTTATTAACTTCACACTATTATTGATCTGAACTGAAACAAGACTGTAATTCTGACCTGAGCTAAATTATGGCACTATTGTCTTTTAGAGCTGCTTTATAGCAGATTCTGAATTGTCTCCATAGTTGAGTTTCCATAATTGTTCTCGATTTTCTCTGTGAAGCTGCTTTGACACAATCTGTATTGTATAAAGTCTTATAGAAACAAAGTTGACTTGACTTGACTGGTGTTGATGTACCTCCAGAAACAAGGTTGGGAAACACTGCATTAAGGACCTGGGGTCCCATAGTTCTCATATTGTGTCATATAAGAAGGGCTCAGCACACACTAAAGTTAATTTTGATCCTTTTTGTGTCTTTTTTTTGTGGGATCCCACACCACTGCTCATTTTGTAGGTCTCTTTTATCTGGCACATGCACACAGTTCAGTTCATGGAACTCTCTGTTAACAAGCTGATTGATGATTTGACGCAAGTGTGTTAAATAAGTGAGACATGGACAATCTGCAGTGCTGTGGGTCCCCAGGATTAAGATTTTAAAACCACTGCTCTAGTCATTTGGCGATAATATGATTAGATTGACTGAAGTTCAAAGTCTAGACTCCTATAATTAATTTTAAAGCTTTGTTTTAATGGTTTCACATCTGGGATGTATGTACAGTGCATGATCCCATATAGTTAGACTTGACAACAGCAGCGTGAAAAAACATTATCAACTAAGAAAAAGGTAACATTTTACAAAAAGGTCTCGTTTGTTAACATTAGTTAATGCATCAACAAGTTGATTTCAATCATGTATTAGTAAATGTTGAAACATTACGTTTAATGAATGCTTTAGAAGTATTTGTACCTCCCTTAACTTACTTTAAATAAAAGTTATAATAAATCAATTTAAGGAAGAGTTGGGATGGAGGAGGAATTGGGCTGCCTAAAAGTTGTTGCAGAAGTGAGGTAAGCAGAGGTTTATAGATGCTTACTCTAACGCTGTGATTTGTCAGAGTAAATGAGCATGGTCCTCCAGAACTTTTGTTTATTCATGTCATAGACTATCATCTTCATTCAGCTTCAGTACAGCTGTGAGTTTTTGAATAGGACACATAAATGTACCGTATACCTACATTGAGTATGGGCTTGTTGCATTGTGCACAGTGAGGTGAGTACAGGGTGAAGTAGTCAGGCTCACAGTATGGTCGACCATCTTTCTCAAAGAAATTACAATTGCCAAGCTCACACTCACACTCAGAGCAAACAAAGTGCTCTGGATGCCAAACCCGTCCCAGAGCTGTTACAACCTAAGAGACAGGGAAACAAGATCTAAATTTCTAAAGTTACTATCACTTTTGAAACCGGAATCCTTTAAATCATTAAAAAAAAAAAATCAACAAAGAGTTCTAAGATGAAACAACATTACAAACTAGGATTTAAAACAATGTATTTGAAACCTGGTTGTGGTAGTAATTTAGTTTATTTCAATTAAATTAAATGTAAGTGATTAAACTTAACAACCAGATATGTTAGGTCTGTCTTCATAGGGTTATATATTGATAAAAATCTGCTTTTCTGTGAAGACAATTAATGGTACTTTTACTTACTGACCTTTGTAAACAGTACTTCTATTGTACTTCCAATATGAAAACCACAGAAAACATTTTAAAAACAAATGCATGGCTATTGATTAATTAAACTACTGGCTACAAGTTAAATTCAGGATTTATTAAATAATTTTACCTGTCCTACAACTGGTTTCTGACAGGCGGAACAGTTTCCCTTAGAGGAGGTAGGCACTCCCTGCCTGCTCAGATCTGATTGGAGAAGACCCAACATGCTGTCCAATGAGCCTCCAGAGGATGCAGAGGGTGGAGAAGCTGTTTGTTGTGATGAAGATGCCACAGGACCCGCGGGTGCTGCTGGCTGATACAAACAAATAACTCAACAGCTACACAAAAATACTAATATTTTATTAATTAAAAGTGAAATGTTAATAAACTCTCTCCTAACCCAGTTCAATATGCAGAGTCAACTATCAGTAAGCCAATAGTAGGTACTACTATTATGACTGAGACGCACTGTATTGCATAAAGCGCTATAGTGACTTGACGCACAACAATGCACTGTTTGTTTGGTCCTACCAACTTCTGAACATTGTTACATTGTTACCAACATTGTCACCAAACCTGTTGTAGTGTTTAGTGTTTTAGTGTTTGGGAAACCAGTTTAAAAACAGTTATTAATCTGGTGACACTAGTTCAGCAACTGCATAAAAGTATGTATCAAACATACTGTGCTTTGGACTCTGAAGTCTGATAGAGACGCCATTAATTTGTCCAGCTCTAAAGTAGCAGATGTAGCTGAGGGTTTCGCTGAGCTAGAAACAGAAAAAAAATTATTACTGTCCGACAATCATTAATACAATTATATAAACTGTACACGCATATTCATTTGATATTTGTAAGTTTGACTTTCCTCCATTATGTGTTGTCATTACTACAAATAAAGCCATTTATTTAAATGAAGATCTGCAGGGATATGATACGTTATCAGTCAGTAATGATACTATTATTTAATTAGTAACTGGTATGTAATCTCTTATCTATTATAAGGCATGTGGAATGAGCATATGTAGGAAAATGAGTATACAGATGAATAAACATCGCAATATATATCAGTGCACTAACCCAGTAGAGGATGGACCAGACTTTGAAAACTGATCCTCTTTTTTGGTGCTGGGGAATTGTGCCAAAATCTCATCTAACAAAGACAAAGGAAAAATTATGCATCAGAGGAGTTCTTTTTTTAAATTAAACTCTAGGGCACTGCTTACTGCATACTGCTGACTATATACCAGACACTGCCTACTATTCTAACTGATCAGTTTTCATTTTATTCTATTTCATTTACTTTTGGCAGTCTGGAAAATCAGTCAAGTACAAGTGGTGCATGGCACACAGTGTTCCATACACTATGATCTGGTTGTATATGGCACATTTTAGCAAATATAAACCAGTTATGTGGAATTCCCAGATCATTTGGTGACTGTGCACAGTATACATACTGCATGCATTTGTGTTGTTGTTTTTGTAAATAGTAGGTATTCCATTCTGACAGACAAGGACAGATTATGGACTGAGCCAATGACTGCCAGGGGTTTATCATATTCAGGTCATATTCTGTCCTTGCACACACAGTAAAGAACTTTGTAAGCTACTAAGAAGTCAGCACTCACCTGTGATGTTGAACTGTGTGGCATTAAGCTCCTGTAGTAAGTGATCAAGTTCACTCAGCCCTCCACCCAGAACTGAGGAGGAGGAGAAAGCAGGAGGAGGGTCTGCCATACGTGGGAAGCGTGGTTTACATACCGTACTGAAGAAATAAAAAGTTACAAAACAATCACTATGGACTTACCGCAACACTCAAAATCTCAACATTCCAAGAGTTAGTTCTAAATGAAAATGATCATCTTTGATTTTAAATGACATCCAAAGCTATTGTACAGTTTCAGAAGACTTTCAGAAGGAATACAGATGATGATACTTTTAGGATCCTTTATGGTACTTTTCTGTCCTCTGTGGAGGTTGACAGCCCCAGACCCCATTTACTTTGTATGGTAAACTGTAGAACAAACATTTTGCTAAACATTTTTGTTGTTGTTAATGGAAAAAATATTGGATTCGGTCGAACAGACAGCACGCCTCACAGAGGAACGTGCGCGGTCGGTGCTGACCTGCTTGAATTCCTTCAAGGGCAAGACATCGGTCCCACTGAAACAATTTCAGAGACTCCTGAGGCTACGTCACGAGGTGGGCATGGCAGCGCGGCACTCACCAGGTCCAAGTTACACCGGCCTGTCACCAAACCTTCACCCCGTGGTCAGATCTTACGTTTTTCCGGGCACGAGTGCCCCTAGAACAGGTCTCCAGGCATGCTGGGGTTTACACGGATGCCTCCACCACCGGCTGGGGGTCAATGTACAACAGGCACGCAGTGTCGGGGGTTTGGACGGGCCCCCATCTGCACTGGCATATTAATTGCCTAGAGTTGTTAGCAGTGTGCCTTGCCTTGAACCGTCTCAAAGGGCGCTTACGGGGCAAGCACGTGCTGGTCCGAATGATAACTGTAGCATACATCAACGGAGAAGGTGGTCTGCGCTCCCGTCGCATGTTGCAACTCGCCCGCCACCTCCTCCTTTGGAGTCGGAAGGTTCTGAGGTCACTTCGTGCCATTCACATTCTGGGCCTGCTCAACCGTACGGCCGACGAGCTGTCTCGAGCTACACTCCCGGGAGAGTGGCGACTCCATCCCCGGACGGTCCAGCTGATTTGGGGACGTTTCGGAGCCGGTGCAGGTCTACAATTTTGTTTCTGGTGTCCTTTGACAGCTCTTTGGTCTTGGCCATGGTGGAGTTTGGAGTGTGACTGTTTGAGGTTGTGGACAGGTGTCTTTTATACTGATAACGAGTTCAAACAGATGCCATTAATACAGGTAACCAGTGGAGGACAGAGGAGCCTCTTAAAGAAGAAGTTACAGGTCTGTGAGAGCCAGAAATCTTGCTTGTTTGACCAAATACTTATTTTATCGAGGAATTTACCAATTAATTCTTTAAAAATCCTACAATGTGATTTTCTGGATTTTTTTTCTCATTTTGTCTTTCATAGTTGATGTATTCCTATGAAGAAAATTACAGGCCTCTCTCATCTTTTTAAGTGGGAGAACTTGCACAATTGGTGGCTGACTAAATACTTTTTTGCCCCACTGTAAATGTTGAAGTTTTGGAGGGAAAAAAAACAGCACAAAAAAAATACTCTGAGACCTTCACATAAAACTTGTTCTTGTCAGAAACTGAGAAACAAAATAATTGCAACACAGTAAATAATGATAGTGGCATTAACATATAGATGCGCAGATGCGCTCTCTTCATAAAAGCACTGAGACATGGCGACCTCAAAATGAGGAAACACATCAAACTAACAAAACACTTTAAAGACAGACACCCGGATCAAATGAAAGAGTTCAAGCAGGTAAGTTTCATTTTAATTTTTAATATTTGTGTTTCCCATACACTGATTTATTTGTGGCGGCCCACACGCGTCGAAGTCAATACCTGGTGCGGGTGTTTTTATATCATTGTATTTCTGAAGGTCAAAATTATGGATGTCATTTTCATTTCATCTTGCCTGTAATGCCTGAGCTGTTTGTGAGCGCAGCGCTTATTTGATTACAGTCGTTACCAGGGAAACCTCTATCTCTCCCGCTCTACAAGCGCCTCCTGCTGGCAGAGAATCAATTTGCATATATATGCCGCCACAAATAAAGTGCAAGTCTGTGGGAAACACTGCTTCTGTTATGAATATTATTCAATATTTTAATTTTGAAATGAACATTGCTGTTATTAGATTAGTTAATCGTTAGTATGAGTGCAGCTAACGCTAATACAATGAGCATTAGAATGAAGTTTCTTTATTAACTATTTAATGCTCCCATAACTTAAAAAAAAAAAAACAGGAGAACATGATGACATTTACTATTTTTACACACCAGAGGCTTTTAAATAAATTGTGAATTTAAAATATGCATGTTAGAGAATGTACAAATGGTTAACATTGTTTGTGTCATATCAATCAGAAAAGCAGTTCTGGGCTTTTTATTTTTTTTTGCTAACTTAGTTGTTATCTTGGCTGAATAACTCTAGAAGGTTTTAAAAGCCCTTTAAAATTAAATATGTACACAGTTTGGATTAAATTAATGTATAGTCAAATTTTTTAATTAGCATGTTTTTGTGTTTTGCTTTGGTACCTAAATTGGTACCAAGTACCGTGGATTTTCACTGGTATTGGTACCGAATACTTAAATTTTGTTTACCGTGACAACACTACCTACTGTTTAGGCTAACATTAGCTAGCTAGCAATGTGATCTCGTAAACAACATCATAATGCTATTTTTGATAATATTATTATGATAAATTACCTTCATAGCCATGAACAATTTTTTTAAACATGTATAATATTTTAAAGCATTTATTATTTCTCAACTCCACAACTGTGCAGTAAAATTCACTTTAAAGATTCACTTTTCATTCATGAAGATGACATGAAAAATGTGCCAAAAATGTGTCTCCTTGGCGGAAAACAAAAGGTGTGTTCGACTAGAAGCGGCGCTGTGCAGATCGATTGGTGTATGACATCAAAATACTGCGAGAGCAATTAGAGAGCAGACGTCTCCTTATGCTTTTGAATCACTCTGGCGGTACTTTGAAGTCATACTTAAAGATATGTTGAAGTCATCAACATATCGGTTTTCCGCGCTGCCCAAGTCGAACACACCTAAAGACTATTAAGATGAAAATTACATTAAATTACCATTATAACCAGTAGATGGCAGCAGAGGCTCACTCATTAGTTCACTTGCAATTTCAACTCCCTAGTGTTTTTTTTTTTCCTTTCATGTCTTGATTCTGGATTTATTAAAATGACTATTCTAAAATATATTTTTTAGCAGTTTTACTTTACTTAAGTATAAAGTATAGCAAGTGCAGGAAATCACAAAGTCTCATGTCATTTAAAAAAATAGCATAAGCCCAGACACCAACAGCCGAGAAGGGTTAATTATTTAAATACTTAACTCGTTAACTACAAATTAAATAAGTTCATTATTAATGGTATAACAATTAAATAATAATGCATTAATTGTTTTGAAATATTTATAGATTTAATGTGATTTAAATTTAATTTGTTTTATTGTTAACTGTAGAAGCTGCTAAATATATTCAGCCAACAGACTTGTTGCTGCTATAGTTTTATTACTCAGAATTGAATTTGAATCACTTAATGCACAGGTCTATTTTTGACATCGGTTTGTCAGATTTGTTCTGTCCATTGCTACAGTTATCACTGTCAATCATAGCAATGACTCACGGCATGATTTAGAGGATTCATTAACTTAATTTTTTACACTCGCATTTCTTGAAACTATACATGGACGTTTGGTCCTCTTAGACAAACAAATCTTTTCTTCAAATTTTGAATGAATTAGAGAAACCAAGCAAAGGGTGCTCCCCTTACAGCAGAGTTGATTTTGACAGTTGACCGGAAATGACTGAGCTGGCTTATCTAAAACCAGGACGTGACCGTGTATATAGTCAATTAGGAGACGATAAGCACACAAAGCTTTGTGCAATGATGCTAATATTGATCAAGCAGTAAAAATGCCCATTCCTGCACCCAAAACAAGATGCATGCAGATGATGGTATGAAGCAAGCACTTGTGGGACAGTGTTGACCTGCACCACTTCACAAGACAAATTGGCATGACAGTCATTTATTATATTCAACAACAACATCAGCTCGTCCCATGCGTCATATGTCATTGTGTGCACATGCACAAAACTTTCCAGTTTCAGTTTTCAATTCGATCAAGAGTTTACATGTTCTGTCGAACATATTAGAAAATGTTTATCCCAAGTTTATTGGAGTTTTAAACCGATTGTGATCAGAATACAGTGCTCCATGAAAACGCACCTACTGTAAAGTTTCAGGAGTGACAACCTCACTTAATACGTGATTGAATCCTCTAAATTTTGTGTTTGTGAGTGTGTGTGTGTGTGTACGGAACATAACTCATTCTCAGTATTGGTATGACTGATACCAATGTAACAATAGCAAAGTTTTGCCATCTCACGTTTGGTATCTGCTATTTTTGACCAAAGTCATATTACAGCCACCAAAGGCCATGTACACACTGCAGCTAAATTTGGTTGTCATTTAACCTTTTTGTGTTTAATCCTGTTCTGTGCACACATAGTTTAGTAATTTACATGAGTGAAATTAATTCTACAACGAATTAACTCCCGAAAAATTCAGGTAGTAACAACCGTATTTACAGAAATTCTATGCAATGTGTAAATAACTGAACTAAACAACTAGTTGTTAACATATTTAAACTTGTATCAGAGTTTCAGATTTGGTCCTCTCTTCTGTATGTGCAGTGCAAGAAATCACAGTGAATGAGAAGTTTTTTTACTTAGTTTTGCCAGATCTGTATGTGTATATATATACTGTATATATTTATTTATTTTTTAAGTTTTTTTTAAGTTTTACAGATTTAAGTTTATTATAGGCTTGTTCATATTTACTGTTATATATTATATATATATATATATATATACACATTTAGTCATTTAGCAGACTCTTTTATCCAAAGCGATGTACAAATGAGGTCAATGGAAGCAATCAAAATCAACAAAAGAGCAATGATATACAAGTGCTATAACAAGTCTCAGTTAGCTTAACGCAGTACACATAGCAAGTGTTTTATAAATAATATAATAAATAAAAGAAAACAGATAGAATAGAAAAAGAATAGAGCAAGCTAGTGTTAGAGGTATTTTTTGCTTTCGTTAATTGTATAATAAATGAAAAGAAAACAGAATACAAAAAAGACTAGAAAGCAAGTGTTAGTTGTTTTTTTTGTAAAGAATACAAGCAGCAAATGAATAGAGTGCAAGCCTAAAAGGGACATGGTCCTCTCTTCTGTATGTGCAGTGCAAGAAATCACAGTGAATGAGAAGTTTTTTTACTTAGTTTTGCCAGATCTGTATGTGTATATATATACTGTATATATTTATTTATTTTTTAAGTTTTTTTTAAGTTTTACAGATTTAAGTTTATTATAGGCTTGTTCATATTTACTGTTATATATTATATATATATATATATATATACACATTTAGTCATTTAGCAGACTCTTTTATCCAAAGCGATGTACAAATGAGGACAATGGAAGCAATCAAAATCAACAAAAGAGCAATGATATACAAGTGCTATAACAAGTCTCAGTTAGCTTAACGCAGTACACATAGCAAGTGTTTTATAAATAATATAATAAATAAAAGAAAACAGATAGAATAGAAAAAGAATAGAGCAAGCTAGTGTTAGAGGTATTTTTTGCTTTCGTTAATTGTATAATAAATGAAAAGAAAACAGAATACAAAAAAGACTAGAAAGCAAGTGTTAGTTGTTTTTTTTGTAAAGAATACAAGCAGCAAATGAATAGAGTGCAAGCCTAAAAGGGACAAGTGTTTTTTTTTTTTAAGAATAGAATTAGAATAGAGAGTGCTAGAGTTACAGTGTCAAATAAAGATGGAAGAGATGTGTTTTTAGGCGATTGTTGAAGATGGCTAAGGACTCAGCTGCTCGGATTGAGGTGGGCAGGTCATTCCATGAGGGAACATTTAATTTAAAAGTCCGTAAAAGGGATTTTGTTCTTCTTTGGAATGGCACAATTAAGCGACGTTCACTTGCATGTATATTGTCACGAATTCAGTCCATGGACTTCTGTTTATTCACCACCAGAGGTCACCCTTTCCATTTCATTGACTCTCGCACTACACAAACTGTTGCATAGCACCCCGGATAATTGTGCCATTCCAAAGAAGAACAAAATCACTTTTACGGACTTTTAAATTAAATGTTCCCTCATGGAATGACCTGCCCACCTCAATCCGAGCAGCTGAGTCCTTAGCCATCTTCAACAATCGCCTAAAAACACATCTCTTCCATCTTTATTTGACACTGTAACTCTAGCCCTCTCTATTCTAATTCTATTCTTAAAAAAAAAAAACACTTGTATCATGAGTCTAGTCAAGTTACAGCTGATAGTCATGAGTCTAGTCAAGTCACAGTTGATCGTCATGAGTCAAGTCAAGTTACAATTCAGTATCATGAGTCAAGTCTAGTCACAGCTGTTCTTCCTGAGTTCAGTCAAGCCATAGCTAATCTTCCCGAGTCAAGTCTAGTCACAGTTGATATTTATGAGTCTAGTCAAGTCACAGTTGATCATCATGAGTCACAAAGATAATTCCTGAATCGTAAGAGTTTTTTGTTACAGTGTTATTGATCTCAGTGTTCACTGGGCAGGAAAGTCATCTGTGTATTTACATTTACATTTACATTTAGTCTGTCACGAATCCGGTCCATGAACTTCCAATTTCATTGACTCTCGCAACACAAACTGTTGCATAGCACCCCGGACTACATTTCCCATCATTCTTTGCACAATTTGCACACTGCCCTGATTGCACTCATTGCACACAGCTGTTTCTAATTATCTCATTCACTATATAACACCCACTCTAACCACATTTCTCTGCTGAGTATTGTTTAGCCTGTACCCCTTTCCGAGTCTCCGTGTTTTCCTAGTTTTGCCTTGCCTTGTCTGTTTTCTCCGGTTTTGATCTTCGCCTGTTTTCCTGGATTCCTCCCTTTAGCCTTGCCCCTGTGACTCTGTCTGCAGTTCATCGACCCACGCTAGCCCTAGGATTATTCTTGTGTTTTGCCCGCCATATACCTGTCTGCCTCTGTTTGACCCTGCCTGCTTTATGACCACGTCTGTGTCTTCTCCTATTAAAGCTTTGCATTTGGATCCGAACGTCTCACGTCTCGTCAGCCCCGTTACATATATATATATAACAGTAAATAAGAACAAGCTTATAATAAACTTAGATCTGAACATGTTATCCTGGAAATAAGCCATGTACAGTACCAAAATATTGCAACAGGCACCTGCCTACTGTATTCTCCATAAACTGGATTGTTTTATGAGCCAAGGCCAAAGATGCTTAATAAGCACTGCTTATAATAAATGGACGTGGCAACACTTTGCAAAGCAACCTACCAAACATAAAACACTACGGCTCTGTCAACTATAGTTTCAAATCACCAAGCATAACGGTCACAGATTGCTTAAGCTAAGTATAAGCACACAATGAAGACGAATAGTTCAATACACAGTCTTTAATAAATCAAAAACAGCAAAGCAAAAGCATATTCATATTAATAACCGGCAACAAAGAGCACTAATTGGGGAAAGATTTATACCAACGCAAGAGAACTAATGACAGGTGAACTGACTAAGGCAATCAAGGACTGAACACAGGAAACTAGGTCAAAGGAACTAATTAAGTCAGGAGAACAGAAACAGAAGGAAACACAAACAAAAGACCATGACCGTGACAATAACGAGTTACTTTGGTCAAAAAAGCAGAATACAAAACATGTGAGATGGCAAAATGGTGCAATGGTAACAACGGTGTCAGTCATTGAATTTCAAATGTACACACACACAAAACTTTTAGGGTATTCACTATCGTATTTAAATATTATGAGTAATTTCCCCGTAAAATGGACCTTTCCGAAAACTCTCCTCCAGATTAAACATCATAAACCTCAGATTTCATAGTTAAACTTGTGTATGTTAATGAATTCCAGTCATTTGTAAATAGACCACCCACATGAAAAAATACTATAGCAATTTATAGTAAACCATACTATAGTAAAGTGTATACTGTATATATTATAGTATTTACAACAATTTTTAATGAATGATACAGCATACTGTAGTATTAACTATAGTGAACTGATAAACTGTAATAAATATTGTATTATACTTTAGTTTTTACTACAGTAAACTGTAGTGTATTGTAGTATAATATAAAATATAAACTTCATACAGTATTGGGTAAAGTAATTTGTTTATATTACTATAGTTGTTATATTACCACATCAACTATAGAATTACCACAACAAATTAATTCAAGTACTTTACTATAGTATAGTTCAAAAACACTATAATATTTACTATAAATTACGATAGTATTTTTTCATGCACACATTCACAATTAGCATAATTCCCACCCATGAATTACAACTATGTGACTAGTTAACTATGTGAAGGAGTGAAACCATTTAATCTTTCAATTAAGTGTCAGAAAACACATAGGCAGTGCTCGACTTGCTCCAGCATCAGCAGTTTCAACATCCCTTCATCACCCCAACTCCACCAACTAATTTAAGTTTCTTGCCATTAATAGTTTCTTCCACACACTGGTAGACCCTCGAGTTACAGCCACATCCTCAAGCTCGTTGGACAGCAAGCCAAATAAGCTTAACCTCAATATCTTAAAGATTACCTAGCTGTATCGACAAACAAACTTTATGCACCATTTACATTTTTTTTTGTGTACTGACTGACATTTTGAAAATACGAAGATTTTCATAAATTCAAAAATTGACGTCAGAACAGCTATGATTTACATACACACATCTTTCTGCTTTTGTTTCACCAGACAGTGTCATATCCTCATGTGATGAAGCGGGTTGTTAAAAAAAGTGGGAGATAAACTTTTGAGATGGTAAAGAGATCTTGTTTTTCTTTCTTCTGGGTATATATATACCTTATGTGAAAATCAATGTATTATTTAGGGCATTGTGTTCTCGAGAGTTAAAATACCTGTAAAGTTTGTCTTGGTTAGAGTTCGGAGAGCCGTTCGAATTCATTGCAGCAGAAACAGTCTATGAAACAGATGAATAGAAATTATATGATCCTGTAACATGAATGAATATATTTTGCTTAGAAACATCATATCAGATGTGTGTTTGTTTTTGTGTTCATCTCATGGCATACTTTTTGTGGGGTGTATGCTGGAGGGAGTGGCCGGTTCTGGGCAGGATCCTGAGCACTGGATGGGGGATCAGAATTCACTGGAGGGTCAGAGGTGAGCAGAACAGGATAGCGACCCAGAGGAAAGGCTGAATTTTCCAGATCAGCAAGAAGGGCATCTACAAAGAGTTATAGAAAAACATCATGGAAAAGTTGTAAGGCAAGTCTCAGAGGGGCTTTTTCCCCCTTTTTTTTGAGAGAGAGAGAGAGAGAGAGTTTATAACACAGGGTAGTAGAAAACTGACAGATGGGGGAATATAATTGGGACATGATACTGACTACACTCAAAAATGGGTTTCCTCATGTATTTCCTCTATATGTCAGATTTATCTGCACAACTGTGACCTCTCATTTCTTTTGTTTCTGCACCTTCGGAAAGTGTTTCAAGGTCAAATGAAAACATGATAACATTAAACTATATTATTATTACTATAGTATTATATTGAATTATACAACTCCATTCACACAGTAACTGTATGTGTCACATGTAGGTTTCTTTCCGAAAGCAATTTATTTGCAAATATCTTTACAATGAAGAACTGAAAATGAATATAAATAGATAAATAAATAAAATAAGTATAATAATTTTATTTATAAAGTGGATCTGTACAGTCTTTACTGAATACCAGTGTCTTTTAAGTGGATGTTAGAGCTAAAGTGAGAACTAATTGACCATTTGTTAAGCCCGCCTTGAAACCTTTACTGCCCAATCCTAACTTCCATTTTCTTTCAAATGCTTTTGCTATTCTCTAATTTAAGTCTATGGAAGATCTGTGTTATTGAATAGTTTTACATGCAACACAGTTGAGGTCAAATGTTTACATACACCTTGCAGAATCTGCGAAATGTTAATTATTTTCCCAAAATATGAGGGATCATACAAAATTCATGTTATTTTTTATTTAATACTGACCTGAATAAGGTATTTCACATTAAAGACGTTTACATATAGTCCACAAGAGAAAATAATAGCTGAATTTATAATAATGACCCAGTTCAAAAGTTTACATACGCTTGATTCTTAATACTGTGTTGTTACCTGAATGATCCACAGCTATTTTTTTTTTTGTGATAGTTGTTCATGAGTCCCTTGTTTGTCCTGAACAGTAAAACTGCCCGTTTTTCTTCATTTAGTACTGCCCTTCAGAAGCTACAGAAGATACTTACATGTTTCCCAGAAGACAAAATAAGTTTCTTCAAATGAAGAACAGTGAGCAGTTTAACTGTTCAGAACAAACAAGGGACTCATGAACAGCTATCACAAAAAAAAAAAAAAAACAGCTGTGGACAATCCAGGTAACACACTATTAAGAATCAAGCTTTCCAGACATTCATGCAGCTTCTTTAATGTTACAGTAAGTCTACTGGCAGGTCTAAGTGTGTAAGTCTAAATCTCTTGATTTTCATCTTGTTTGTACATACATTTTTGACAGGTGCCGTGTTCTTTGAAATGCCATTGTTGTACCCTATTGTCTACACTTGTTGATGATGGCCTTCATGGTATGCCATGGCACATCTACGGTGGCCGAGAGAGCTCAACACTCGGCAAATGAAAAAACACCAGCAAATTAAGAAAACATCATCAATTTTACAGCACACGTGCTGCAAATTCTCACAACACAACCTAATGCAGAAACACGCTGCAAATTTTCACAACACAAACAAAAACAGTACGCAAATGTAGAATGCAGAATCCTGCTTGTTGTGGCCTATTTGCGTGTTTCTGTATTTGCAGCACATTTCTGTATTTGGTTGTGTTGTGAGAATTTGCAGTGCGTTTCTGTATTTGGTTGTGTTGTGAGAATTTGCAGCGCGTTTCTGCATTAGGTTGTGTTGTGAGAATTTGCAGTGCGTTTCTGTATTTGGTTGTGTTGTGAGTATTTGCAGCGCGTTCCTGCATTAGGTTGTGTTGTGAGTATTTGCAGCACATGTGTTGTCAAATTGATGAAGATGGTTTCTTAATTTGCAGGTGTTTTTTTCACTTGCAGCGCATTGAGCTCTCTCCGCCACCGTACACATCTCATGCTTTATACCAGTGGTTTTCAAACCTGTCCATGAAGTACCCACAGCCCTGCACATTTTGTATATCTCCCTGTATCCCTGCTGGGGGTACTTCAGGACAGGTTTGAGAACTGCTTTTATACCATAGGTAAGGAAGGGGTGGCCAACGTCGGTCCTGGAGAGCCACAGTCATGCAGAGTTTTGCTTCAACCTTGATTAAAACTCACCTGCCTGTTGCTTTCTAGTAGACCCTAGACATTGATTAACATGTTCAGGTGTGTTTCATTAGGGTTGGAGCTGAACACTGCAGGACGGTGGCTCTCCAGGACTGACGTTGGCGACCCCTGCCATAGGTCTTCAACCCTGCACCTAGGGACCCACTTTTTCAGCTCCAACCCTAATCAAACACACCTGAACCAGCTAATCAAGGTCTTCAGGCTCACTTGAAAAGTCAGAGGCCAGGTGTGCTGAAGCAGGTTGGAAATAAACTTTGCAGGACAGTGGGTCCCCAGGAGCTGGGTTGAAGACCTATGTTTTATACCCATCTCCTGATTGGTACCTCTAATCCAGGGGTAGCGAACTCTGGTCCTGGAGAGCTGCAGCCCTGCAGAGTTCAGCTCCAACCCTAATTAAAACTCACCTGCCTGTAGCTTTCTAGTAATACTGGGTACACACTAAAATATTTTTTAAATCTTATAAGATCTTCAAAATGTGAGAGACCACAAACATGAGAAAAAAGTGAAACCGATATTTTTATAATATATTTAAGCAAAACTCTGCAGGGCTGCGGCTCTCGAGGACCGACGTTCGCCACCCCTTTTTTCAGGGGTGCAACTGCACATTTGCCGAGGGGCATACAAGATCAGTGTCTGTATTCTAGTAGCCTCTAACACTAAATCACGCAGAAAACTTTCTGCAAGTCAATGACCAAAAGCCCATTACTAGCTTGTGCATGGAAGGATACAAACTCATCAGGAGTGAAAAAAGTGACAAAGGTTTGAACTCCCTTCCCTCTTTTTTAATACCATAGGGAAAAAAGTGAAAAGTAAAAAAAAGAAAAGAAAAGTGTGTCACATAACATCCCCTTTAACTCCTGATGGCAGACCCCAGACAGTAGAACACATGTTTTTTATTATTTTTTTACTTTCAAACACATGTACTATTGCACACTTTTTAGTTAGGTAATTTGAATATATATATTTTTTTAATTTAATTAATATCTTTGCACATTTTTATATAGTAAAATTATAATTTTAAAGAACGTCTGCATTTTTAAAATGTTTTAAATTTTTTCATTTTAACTTAAAGAGATAATTCATGGAAAATTTGCCATGCTAAGTGGAAGATCTATTTCGACCTCACTCAGACCGTCACCACAGTCTTACCTTGAATGACACCATTCTGCTACCCTTCCGAGACCTAATATAAACAAAGTCAGGTGACTGACCCTGAGTGGTTGGTTCACTATAAAACATCCGGGTGAACAAAGCACTTCCTCTTTGCCTTCTCGCCTCTTCTGAGACCGGTTCGGAGAATCCGCGCGTATACGCTGATATTGGAAAATTACCCATTCAATCCGTCACTATAGTGCAGGCGCCTGGTGCCCCTGAGGATTGCGGTAATTTTTCCTTTTTCCCCTCTATATTTAGGTAAGTGGTTGTTGTTTATATTATTCTGAATTACGAGTTGATATTTGTTTACAGATTGTATTCTGGTGCTTTTGGAAGCATACGGATTGGTAAGTAGTTTGTTTTTGTGCTATTATTCATAAAACTAAAGGAGGATTTTTTTTGTTGGTTCCGCTGTTCGCAGTGGGGGGATTTTCCCACCTGTTGATCTGTGCGTTCGCGCATAGAATAGGTGTCGGTACCTCCTAATTGATTTAGTTTGTCTTTTTGACTGAACAAACAGAATTGATATGCTTGCACTGTGATACTACTGTTTGCAGTGGATTGAGTGAAGTTTATTTGGCTTTGGTTGTGTTTACACACATTACTTACTAACAAAATCCTGTTCGCAGGAGTAAGGTATTTATATTTTGTGTGTTATTTGTGTTACGGCATCAGGTCTTGGAGGACACAGAGAGGGTTATCAATCATATAAAGGAACTTGGATTTTGCATGAACCACGAGAAGAGCAAGGTCGAACCACGTCAACAGACAATATTTCTCAGATTGGTTCTGAATTCCTTTACAATGACTGCATCACTCGCTCCAAAGAGGGTAACAGCATTATCTACTCTGGCAAAATCTTTCCGGTTAGGCAAGCGGATAGAATTGGCACAGTTTCAAAAATTATTGAGGATGATATCAGCGGCAATAAAAGTAGTGCCTCTTGGGTTGCTCAAAGCACGACCACTACAGTGGTGGATCAACAAGTTTCAACTCCACCCCAAAGTACACAGGCGAGTGAGACTGAAGGCAAATGCATTCAGGCCTTGCACCCCTGGTTGAGCAAAAAGAAATTGGGCCAAGGGGTCCCTCTGGGGAACATACCAGCAAGGAGGATGGTGGTGACAACGGATGCGTCTCTGACTGGTTGGGGGGCTGTCTGGCAAGGCAGAACAGTGAGAGGCTTATGGGCGTTTCCCTGGAATATGGAACATATCAATGTGTTAGAGTTAAGGGCAGTTTACATGGCCTTGAAACGACTGATTCCTTTTCTGCAAGACAAGCATATCCTGGTGAGAACCGACAACATGTCAGCAGTTTACCATATCAATCATCAGGGAGGCACCAGGTCATTGCGTTGCCTCCAGGAGTCCAGGAGACTTCTGTTTTGGGCCCATCCAAGACTCGCCTCAATCAGGGCAATCTACATACCAGTAATAGTGAACCAGGCTGCCGATCTCCTCTCTCGAACAGGGCCCCTCCCAGGGGAATGACGCCTGCATCCAGAGGTGGTAGGTCTGATATGGGACCTGTTTGGGAGAGCTCATACCGATCTGTTTGCATCAGACGAGACAACTCATCACAAGAAGTGGTTTGCGATGAGCAAACAGGGTGGACCTTTAAGGAGTGGATGCACTGTCTCACGAGTGGCCGGGAGGATTGTTATACGCTTTCCCCCCCCTGCCATTGATTCCTCATGTGCTCAAGCGTGTGGAACTGGGTCATTA